GTGTGTGTGTGTGTGTGTGTGTGTGTGTGTGTGTGTGTGTGTGTGTGTTTTCTTAATAAAACATAATTTGCTGCTGTGTCTCCAGTGTGGGTCAGAGGCAGCTGGTGTGCTTGGCCAGAGCTCTCCTGAGGAAGACCAGGATCCTCATCCTAGATGAAGCTACAGCTGCTATTGACCTGGAGACAGATGATCTCATCCAGTCCACCATAAGGACTCAGTTTGAAGACTGCACCGTTTTTACTATTGCACATAGACTTAACACTATCATGGACTACACAAGGTACGATACACACTGTCATTAGCCAACAGTTTGCATTGGTTAGGCTAACTATTGAAACCAAGAACAGCTTAGATCTTTGCTTCTCTGAGTCTCTGCTGTTAAATGTTTTGTATTATCTTGGTCTTGACTGGTGACGACGAGATGCTTCCTGTGTTGTACTCTGAGTTTCTGTCTGTCTGTCTTATGAGTGTGGTCAGGGAGTGAAAGAGACAAGTGTGTGGTTACCATGGCTTCATCATTCATTCTGATTTTGGTTCTTTTCACATTTATCAAATAATGCAGCTGCAGAATTTCTTCAGAAATTGTCTAGTCTAACGTTTTGCACCAATAAACCCAAGTAGCAGGTTTTGACATTTACTTCTACAGCTATATACATTGTACATGTTTCAGTGAAGCGCTTTGAGTGTCCTGGATGGATAGAAAGGTGCTATATAAGTACAGTCCATTTACTATTTACCATTCAGTGGATTTACTTTTTACAAAGTAAAAAAGCTTCATGATTTGTGACTCAGTCCTGTTGTCTCTCCTCTTCCAGAGTTCTTGTGTTGGACAAGGGACAGATAGCTGAGTTTGATACTCCCACCAACCTAATATCACAAAGAGGAATCTTCTACGGGATGGCAAAAGATGCAGGACTGGTGCAGTAGAGCTACCTTTTTTATTTCTCTCAAAGTTCCAGATCAGGATCCAGGATGAACCTGGTTCTCAGCAGCGACAAACGGAGCAGGATTTTTTTTATATAAATTTTAATCTTAAAATATACAGTATGTGTGTGTTTTTCAGGGCACATTTTGCTCAATTTTAATGAAATCCAATTTCTCTTGCAGACTTAGGTCAACTAGCATTTGCAAAGCAAAATCTAGACACAAGAGTTTGCACTGTCTGTATCAAAATGTCTTTCTGAATGGAAATAAGAAAAAAAAGCCATACAAGCAGACGCTATCTGATCCAAGCCTTCTCTGTTGTGCCTTATTCCAGTCAGATAGAAAAGCCAGTGAATGTATTTTTTTTCATCGACTTGTCTATTAGAAAACAGAAAAAAAAGTTGAACTCTTTTTACATAAAAAAAGAACATTGTGCCACTGTTACCTTCCTCATGACAGAAAAAAACACACTTTTGTGATAAAGCACCCACACATTTTTGTACTGTTATTTAAGCTACTTTTAAATAACTGATGTTGATCTTGGAAAGTTTGTTTAGTTTAACATGATTCTTCTGTGAACCAAATATGTAAACACTTGAACTCTGTACAACCAAAAAATGAAAAGAAAAACACATTTATGCCTTTTTTTTTTTATAAAAGAAAGAACAATATCTGTGTGCTGTAATAATTGTGACCTTTGACATTGGAGGATTGAACTAAATGTAGGTTTTATCATCTGCTGTGTTTTGGTTTAAAATGAACCACTCAAAGCAGGAAGTAATAATATTAACACAACTTCAATGAGAACGGGGATTACAGGTGTTATTTACAACAAATAATTAGTCAGCAGATAAAGACAGTTTAGTGCAGCAGGACAGTGGCTTGCAAAAGTATTGACCCCTTTTAGATATTTTTTCTGTTGCCCAAAAGCCTAGATTTTATTGTTAAATGTATAGATTTTCATCTAAGTTCTGGACCTACACACAAAAAACAAAACAAAAAATAAAAGCAACCGGGGGGTGTTGCTTTTAAATTACCTATCTCTGGACTGTTTTCCCCAAACTATGGAAGATCATGCTGCAGTCAGATGAGACTAAAAGTGAATTTCTGTCTCCTCAATGAAAGCCCCGTCTGACGCAGGTTGAACACTTCTCATCCTGACAACAACCTCACAGCGGTGACAGCGTCACACTGTGGGGGTGTGTTTGTTTTATCAGTGGGGTCTGGGAAACTGGATGAATGAGTAAAATATAGAACATTTCTTGAGAGAAACCAGCTTATGTCCCACTGTAGCTTTTTGTCCAAATGTCACATTTGTTTGATAACTTCTCAGGCTGAGGAAGAGCTCAGACTTAAAGCTGACATCAGGATCTGGGATTGTTTGCAGTCATTCAGTGGTGGGCCTCAATCTGAACTGTATTAGATTTCTGCAGGATTAAGATGTTTATTAGGTAAAATTCTATGTTTTTCTTCATTTAAACTATTTAGAAGGTAAGACTGTTTTTTACAGTGAGTGTTTGACTGCAGTCAAAGAAGTGAGGTGTTCTGTCATTACAACAGGTTTTCACTAGAGGGGGCTCACAGTCAGCTCTGTAAAGCCCACATCTGTACCTTTTAAAACCCATTCAAAGTAACTGCATCTAAAGATGGAGCCACAACACCTATCCTGAGGCAGTAGAGGTGATCCCTCAGACCTTAAATGTTACTTCCTGTCACCATCCTTCCATTTGCTTTATTGGCTTTCTTCTTTCCAGGTCTCATGGTCCCCATGTCCAGCAGTTACTGTGAGACAAGACCATTGTTAGGACACAGAGGCAAATAGACGATTCACGCTCTCACGCATACTCAGGGACATTTTATAGTTGCCAGTTAACCTAACAGTTGTGTTTTCTTGGTCTGTGGGAGGAAATGGAGAAAAGCCCGTGTTTGCACAGGGAGAACTGTGAATCAAGACAGCTTCAACCACTGTACTGTCACATCCTGTCACATCACAGCAACTTTTCTGTTCACTGAGGAATCTTTATTTTTGTGTTTTCTACAGTCATACAAAATGATGTTTAGGGAATATTACAAAACAGGGTTTGGATTATCAGGATTAGGAAAAATAAGATAAATCACAGAGTCATTGCAGGTGTCTCAAACCCACCTTTTGGCTGCTCCCTTCTGCAGGAGTCATCTCAGTGAGCAAACTCACATGACATATTTAGCAACTGTTTTACACAGGATTTCTTCCCTGACCTGCATCCTCAGGATTACTTTACCAAAGCACTGACCTGTAGATTTGAAGCACCTTATACACAATGCATATGGATATTTTTGAACATTCAGGCTCAACAAACAGTTCAAACACGTGTAAGATGATAATCCCACCATCCTGTTCTGCCAAAGCACAGCTCCCAGATTCCTTAATTATCATACATTTAAGTTGGTGTAACAAGACATTTGATAAATAAGAAGCTTTACTTTTTAGCTCAGTTCTCCCTTCACCATGATAGATCAGTACGTAAATGTACTTTTTTTGTCATCAGTGCATGTTCCCGTACAGTGATGAAATGTGTGCTGTGCTCTGTGACCCATCACACATGAGGCAGCTACTGTATGCTGTAAGCATGGCGAGGAGTCGAGCATGTGACTTTCTGATCCCAAGTCTACTACCACTGTATCACATCCACTCATAAATGTCACTGCAGAAGCCATCCAAGTCCACTTAGCAGTTTTCTGGTCTGTTCTGCTGCACCACGCATGAGTAAGACCCAAAACTGGCAATCCYCAATTTTCCGGTTGAGGACCGTGTCCTCAGGCGCTGATCTCCTTTCTGGCTGCGTCTCACTTGACTGCAAAATCACTTCGGTGCCTGCTGGAGGTCCCATCTCAGTGAGGTCAACGGGACCGCATCATCTGCAAGATGTAGTGATGAAAGCCCCCCCCCCAAAAAAAATTGGAAACCTTCTTTTGGCTATATGGAGGTAATTTTGCGTTTTTGTTGTTCAATCAAACAAAAAAGCAGTTTCAATTAAAAAAAATCATTTCAATCAAAAAATAATTCTTTAATCAAAAAATAATAATTTTTAATACATATTTTCAACCAAAAAGCTTTTGCAAAACAAACTTTTTTTTGCATGCCAGAAATATTTGGTTGAATCCCAAACTTTTTATTGAGTTTTTGATTGACCCCAAAAAAGTTTTGAACTCGGAGAACATGAACATCTGGGGGGGTCCTAAGGAGGAACTGCTGTAAAACGTGTCCCTATTAGTACGGACTGAAGCGATTTCCTGGTGCACCCGCTTAGAATCGAATCGATACAATACATTAAATGGTCGTTATCAGCGGTTATCAGTCTCATACACCATGTCCAGACTGTCCCTCCTCTACCTCCTAGTAGGTTGGAAGACACTGATCAATCGTTTGTATGGCGGATAATATGCATCTAGGTACAGTGAGCCGACCGCTTGAGCTCCGTGTCCCACTGTGCCTGACTGCATATTATCATGCATACAGCCCGCAAACCCATTTCTAGCTCATTCGGACTGAGCCTAGCCAGGTCCCATGGGTATAATCCTGGCCATCAGGTGCTCACCAACGAGCCCCTCCCCCAGGCCTGGCTCCAGGATGGGGCCCCAGTAACCCACGTTCGGGAAAGGGACACTGAGTTCCTTGATCTATTTTGTCCATAAGAGTCTGTCGAATCATTCTTTGTGTGGCCTGTTACCTAGGACCAATCTGCCATGGGAGACTCTACCGGGGGCAATTGAAATTGCCCCTAACAGCATAGCTCCCAGGACCATTCTATAGGACACTAAAAATGACACTTTTATCTTGCAGGGTATAATCCTGATTTAACTTGTCATTATTTGTAATTGTATATTTTCTTAATTTAATTTAAAACACTGAAGAGACAGTAATTTTTCTTTATTTGGAATAGGGGTTAGTTCAGCACCATTACCAAAAGGATCCACTAAGGAGAACTCGTTTGCCCTTTCCCTCACTCAATACAGACGAGTGAATGGAGGAATGGTGATTCAGTCTCCTGTGTTCATTTTCTCTTATCTCCCTTCTTTTAAGGTCATTAATGGGATATACCTTTAAGAGAGTGACGTGGATGTACACTAGTCCTGTATGTATGTGTTTACATATGTTAGGTTCACTTTCCAACATCGAGTTTGTGTTTAGTGCTTAAATGCTGCTTGGGAAGTAACTAACTAGCACACGCTATTACTAGTGTCAGGAGACCTCGTGCCCTGTAATGGCGTGGGGAAGTTTGATTTGTTTAAAGGGGCAATATTATGTGTTTCTCAGGTATACATTTAAATACTATACCATAATAAAGTATCTATGTCACCTTTGTCTGTTATTAAAATGCTGTTTTTATGTTTAAATAGAAAATAAACTTATCTTCTCATCACTTCCTCTTCTAAACGCCTCGAAATTGGCCTCTGTCTCTTTAAGAACCACCTTTTGCTTCTGTCCCGTCCCATTTCAGTGCGGGGGGTGCTCGCGCGCGCCATGATGCAGTTTACTTGGCATCTGAAAATACATTTCCTCAAAAGTATTTTGAATCTGAAAAGAGCTTCACTGAGTGAGCAGTAGTGTTAAGAGCAGCAGACAGTCTAAATTTCACTTTGCTCTGTTACTGCTGAGAGCCTGAAGGAGTCATGGGCGGGGTGTGTGTGTGTGGGAGGTGGGGAGGTGT